TATATATAATGTCAATTGTTCATTTTATTGGACTTAAGGCCCGTTTGTCTATAAAATTTTTTTACTTTTTTCGAGATCAGTGCTTGGTATAAATTTTTAAATTTTAACTTGAAGATGAATTTCGGAATTTTTCGAAAATTTGAAAAGCTCTAAAAGGATGTTTTTCAAAATTTTCACTTCAGATCACTCGCAAAATTTCAAAAGGCCCAAAATTGTATTCATATCCAAACACAACTCTAATTTTCAAATACGATTTTCACTTGAAAAACTTTTTTACCTTTTTTCGGAATTTTATATTTCTTATGTCCAAACACCCACTTAATGGGCTTAGCTTTATAAAGCTTGTGGCCATCGATGTGGGACTCGCACGCAGTTACAAACTACTCTAACACATCTCCACTCTAAAAAGGTCAAATTTTCCACTAATAGAACACTCAAAGACGGATGTCCCAAAAATATCATGATAAAATCCAGAAATAGCATTTAACAAAAGGGACTTTTTCGTATATAAAAAATATTTTAAACTTATTTACCCGGTTTGTTCAAGTTTTCATATTACAGATTGTAACTAAAGTTTTCTACAAAATATATACAAATTCGGGCAAAATATACAATTTATCTACAACCGAAATACACCTTCTTCTTTTTTTGTATAGAATCCAATCAAAAACGATAATTTATATACAACTTGTATACAATTATGTAAGTTATAGATATTTTGTATACCGTTTCTACACCCGATATACAAAATATATACAATTTATTTATGTCTTCTTTTTCGAGTTTCAATCTGAAATTCCAACCAAAATCACCTCGAATCTTCACCAAATGCTCTCAAAATTGAGATATAAACTCCAAAGGATATTTCCAATCATTTGTAACAACACCCAACCCAAATAAAAAATAATTTTGCAAATTTCGATTCTCGAATTCAAAGCTTCTAAGCTTTCTAATGGCTATCAATGGAGTTCAAGCTCATGTATACACGACCAACTTCAGTTTAATTTCAACTACACCGTTAATTAGTTTCAGTTTAGTTCCAAACACCACTCCTGTTGACAATTTCTTGTTTATTTATCGAAAAATAGTTCCGGTAACCCGTTTATATTGGTGCTTCATGTATGTATTATGTGGCATTTAACCAGTTTGAATTATTTTTCTTCACCATTCCTTCAAAGTTCCGAGCATATTCATATGCAAAAGCCGAATCGAAGAGGAACGGAGAGAGAAATATCTACACGGAGAAGAAAAATAGAGAAGAATGAAGCCTTAAATCGGTAAGATTGAAGTCTTGTATATACTAATGTAATTAATCAATAACCTCTATATGAGGGGTAAATAAGTTTTAAAATTCCTTAATAGAATAGCCGGTCCAAACCCTTCGATAGAAGGTTCAGACAGACCCACTACCTTTCCTAAAGAATATATGTTAATGCTATCTATATATACTTGTGCTAAATATGCATGCATTGTCACAAACGAGGAAAGAATGCAGCTTGATATTCTGCAAACACTTGCTTAAAGATCTCATATTCTCCTCAGCTTAGCGGCAGGAAATAAACATATCCCAAAGGAATGCTGTATAAATCCACAAGAAATTACACCAGCACTGTCCCAGAATATGAAAGTCAGTAAACCAATGGAAGATATATCAACAATGGGGGGCTACAAAGACATGTACACAGATAATCCCCATGGCTAACAACTTCATACCTGAATTTCATGAAGTCTCTAATCTGTCATCTCAATCTCTATAAATGATGAATTGATAAATTACATCCTCATTCCCATATTCAAATTAATGGGAGAGGAGGAGGATTACCTGCAGGGCATCTTTGCCTGCGAGGGCGTCTAGTTGTTTTCCCCCACCCTGTTAGGCTTTTATCCTCCAAACTGCCTTCCCTATTATTAAGTTGGTGCAGTAGAGGAGGGTTTATTGGGGTCAACACAGTGTCCGGGGCGATGGTCTCGATCACTGTTCTCCGACTTCTTCCGTTTCTGGTGCCAGTCCTCCTTGTCAACCCTGCGTTCCAAGGATGCCCTGTAGCTCTCATCAACCCTCCAAATGTCTGAATATCTTCCGTCACCTCGTGCCTCGATAAGGAAACCAGACCAGGAAGTATATCTCTCTGGAAATCCCTACGCTGCCGTCCCCTCCTAGCACGCCCTCTTCGGGTTCGATTTGTTAGTGTAGTGGCTCTTGCGTCTTCCAAACTTTGGACTTCGGGAACAAAAGGCTTTGGCATGTAGTCTTCTTCCTTGGTCTCCGTCAGTTGTAATGTCATTGCCTCAAAGTAATCTATTTCCTTGGTTGAACGTGCAATGCTCGCGCCATCCTTGCCTATTGTCCGTCTTTCAGGCCTGTTCTCAAGTTCATCAGCACAAGAAGATATTACATCGACAAACCAATGTAAGGATGCCAAAGGATCATCGGACGGATCATTGCAGGCTTCCTCCATGCGAATGCACTGACTGGATGATGAGATGGCAACAATTGCTTCTGCTGCAATCCTGACCTCTTCCCGTCTTTGCTCAGATTTGTCTTCAGGAAATCGGGAAGATTCCTCGTGTTGCGTGTCACCTTCTTCAGTCACATTAGTTTCATCAGCTTCCAAAACAACGGGGGCTTCCAGATCTATCTCCAGAACAGCCTTCACATTGACATTATTGCTTTCAATAGAGAAAGGATCTTCATCTTCAGTAATACACGAGTTCAAATCGAAGCAATTTCTAATACTTTTAGCTTTCGTCTCCATCACCTTCTCAAAAACAACTGGTTTGACAGCAGCCGGTTTCTCAGGCTCAGTTACAGAAAGGTCACAAGGCATGTTAATGTCAATCACCATATTCCTCCGTTCATGTCTAAAATTTTCTCCCTCAGGTGAAGACTGAAGAGTAACAGAAGTGGAAACAAGCGAAGATGATTCATTATTGGAAGCCAAGGAATTCACACGAATTGGAACCCCAAGAATATTTCTGACATTTTGGGTCTCTCGATTCTCTTTTGTGGCCCTCATATTGCAATCTTCAAGGGATGAAGCATTTTTCGACGTGTTAGTCTGGCAAAAAGGTGGGCTTGCGTAGGCTTGTTTAGCTTTAAGCCATGGAAACCCTGATAGAGGGTCTTGAAGCTCTTTTTTCCCATCAACCAACACAATATCACACCTTGATGCTCCCTCATTTACTGAACTCTCAGATGGCAGATTCAAATCGAAACCTTTTTCAGATATTGAGTCCATTTTATTGGTGCTATTGAGAAATTTCTGAAATCCATTAATAGAAGTTCGCTCAGATGTCATATTTTCAACCTTAGCACGGTTAGCAACTGACGGGAAGCCAACTGGCGATTCTTTGGAAGCCGAAGAGGAACCGTGGTCAAACCTGTTCCAGATCGGTTGATCACTAGCTAAATCTGGAATCAACCTAGAACTATCATTGATTCGCCATTTGTCTCCAAAAATGTCATGGCTCTGAGATGCCTGTGGACTCTGAGTAATGTTACCACTGGGTTTCCCCCAAGAACAGACAGTGTGTGACCATGGATTGGCTAATTCCGACGAATTAGCAAATGGATGTTCACGGTTTATATGAAATGTCTCTAAACTATGCAGTGCTCTCTGTTTCCAAAGGTCATCTCTTGTAGGGTGAAGTGGATGGATTCCAGTAGGTCGATAAGCCTTGTTAAACATTACCTGTGCTGGATTGGAAAGTGTAGGTAGCTTGTCTTGTTCAAGATTCTGAGGTACTGGTGCCAAGCCTTTGACGTTACCTACAAAGGAAGTAAACACCTCACATAATATTACGAAAAAGTCCACGAAAGGAGGAAGCTCTAACATAATCCTAAACTCTGTCAAACTCAACCACAAGGAAAAAACTTATAAAGGTATTATTACCAGTTACATAAGCAGAAGATAACCACTCCCTCTCTTTGCCTTTACTGTCAACATCTAGGCTATTTAAGGACCCATTAGTGGAATCTCTTGGAAAAGCCACAAATGCTGGATTTGATTTAGCAGAAGCATTTAGGCCTCTACTCTCTCTATGATTGTTACCATAACTGAGAAAATCAACAGGTGATGGAGTTGCTTCTTCAAACTGAGCTGGTTCATTGAGATCAGCCAACTCAATTGAGCTTCTTAAACATGTATTGGAAGTTAAGGTACTTTTTCCGCAATTACTCTTTGCAGCAGCACCATCACCAAGAAACAATCTTGTACTATTCTCTTGGGCGACTCTGTAGTTTCCATTAACTCGATAACTTGGATCGAAAGATCCAACATTAACCCGCAACTGCTCGCTGTTATCTGCATCAGTGTACTCATCAGCTGGAAGTTCAAGATTAAACAACTTTTTCCGAACCTTTGAGGGTCTCTCCGAAACTTCACATATATTTGAAGAACAACCATTTTGCATTTGGCATTGATCAAACTGTCCGCCATTCCCTTTTGGAAAACTCAAGGGTGAATTGACAACTTCTGTAACCGATTTAGATGGTCTAGCACAACCAGAATTTGGCGAGGGGAAGCTGGTAATATGCCATTTCCGAGCATCTTCAGATGGTATTTGAGATCCTAGGAGGCTTGACGAAGAGGAGGGATCCATTGATGTCCGAAGTTTGTGCAGTTCTTCCCTTTTAATTTCATGCATCATGTCCCTCTGAATTCTGTAAAGGCGATGCAGTTCCACCACCTACAAGCAAAGTTTTGCAAAAATAAACTTCGGCAGTACCAGTGGACATGATGCCAAAAAAAAAA